AAACTGAATATGAAGTTGGATGCATAGAGTCCAGCAGAAAAATAAAGTTCTAGGAGAAAAGAGGCTGATCAATGCTTGATGTTGTTTTTTATGTGCATACCACTGTGAAAATGAAAAGAAAAATGATGTCATGAAAATAAAGCTTTCCTGTTTTGAATCTGGGATTTATAGGCTAAATTCATCCCTTATCTGATAATCTTACATAGATTATAAAACTATAAGACTTGGTTGAATTAATTTGAAATTTAAAAAAATAATTTTTTGCTAAAATAGTAGTGAATAATTTTTTTTTGCTTGTTTTAATTAAAATGCTGTTATATATATATATATATATATATATATATATATATATATATATATATATATATATATGTATATATATATATATATATATATATATATATATATATATATATATATATATATATATATATATATATATATATATATATATATATATATATAGTTATATATATATATATATATTTATATATTTATATATATATATATATATATATATATATATATAAAACTATATATATATATATATATATATAAAACTTGATTTTTAAAAAACAACAGAAATGCAAATTTATAAACTGGAATGTTTTTATTTTGTTGACTGACAAAAAAGTTAACATGCAAGAAGATACATCAACTGAAATATAAGTAAACATGCAAGAAGTACAGCTAGATTGACTGACAAATAGGTAGAGCATGTCAGGATTGCTGCTACATTGACTAAGAGTTTTGATTTGGGCAGGCGATCTATCAATTGAAAAAAAACTTTTCAATGGCTTTTATTACTGGGTATCTCATTTGGTTTAAGTGTCAAAAGAAAAGTTGTAACCTGAACTGTTGTGTTATACGAGTTCAAATCCTGCCTCCGCCAACTTAGCGCTTGAATAGTACTTGGTGTGCATAAAAATTGGGCCATAATGGAGGCTACTTTGGATTAATCTTAATGACTATTTGTGTGCTAAGCCAATAATATCTTTGCATACAAGAGAAAAATTTAGCATGAAAATTCAAAAATGAAAAAAAAGTTTAAACTTTTTCCAGTCTTTTTTATAAGAAAAACATAAAGTTTACATTTTAATGTAAAAATTAAAGACAACTAAGCAAGATATATATAATGCAAATTTAGTTTCTTTATATAAAAGTGCTGCATTTTTTCAATTTAGAGAAATAACTATGTAACTGTTTAGAAACAACGTTCTTCAAGTTTTATTCATCACAAAGTTCATTATTTGTACACGAAAATTAATAAATCAAAAGTATTTTAAAAAAGTTGATTTCCTTCTGGACAAAACAAGTGCAACTCCACAAAATGTTGACCAAGCTGTATTTCGCTATCAATATTTCGTGGCGAGTCCTTTGTTGTCAATCACAACCTTGCATCTTTGAGGCATAGATTCGA